TAGAATTGGCCAAAGCAGACTTTAAAAAAGGGGAACTTTCTGGGTGCAACGCTTCACATAGCTGGAACTGTAAGTGGCAGGGGAACTGCATCGTTTCCTCAAAAGGGGAAATATTTATGTATGGTTTCAAATAAGAACAATCAAAAAAAAATGCAATCAAAACAACCCAAGGCATGAAAGAACAAAAATGAAAACGGCTACAAATACAGAAACAAGGGGTTTTTTTCAGTCTGCTTAAGAAGCCTGGGAAATGTTTTTGGTGCTACCACGGATATTCATTTATATTTAATAGCTGACCATCACAGATCAGAAACGATTAGCCTTTTCACAAAGGCGGTTTGGCACAGACTGCCAGAAACTTGAGTGCAAGCAGTACTAATTTTAAAATCTAATCTGTGAGAACTTGTTTAATGGCAGCTATCTTAACACAGGAGTAGAGAAAGATTAATTCACTCTCAGAACTCGAGGATGATGTACAACATCTGTGAGCATTTATAAAGACATGAGATTTAACCAGCAATGCCAAAAGCTCAGTAAGAAGGCATCAAATGACCTCAAGTTACTTACTGATATCTCTTTTTAAGTATAAAAAAAAAATTAACAGTTATCTTCCAATTGTTATTTCCTACAAGGAAAATAACCTTTAACCACATGATACAATTTCTTCTGCTTTGCAAAAAGTCTGAGAATTTCAGCAGCACAGCTGAACTTTCCACTCAGAATAAATCTGCCTGAATGAGCCTTTCGACATATCAAACACAATCAGCAAACAAGAGGCACATTTGTTGGACATGGATGCTGATAACATGCTTTAAAAATTACTTGCCACAAAACATATTTCAGAGTTAGATAGTGATGTTTTCAGATACTGAAATTTAGAATGCCATGCTCTTCTATAACTTTGAGACAACACAATAGTCCAAGACTCAGTGCTTCCACCACTGTAAACAACACACCACATACAAATTACTTTTTCCTTTAAATAGAACACCAGCAGCTGTCTATTCCTTTATTTTTTTATTGGAGACTGGTTTCCATTTCTAAGCTTTGCAGGGCTGTAAATAAATCCATCAGTACATAAGGACACAGACAATAGAGCAAAATTGTAAGCGTGTTAATTCTTAAGTAGTATTTTCTAAGAAAGCTAATTAGAAGCCTTCCACCTGAAAGACAACTACTCGAGGAGACAAACTATTACATTTAATAGAAGGGGGAAAAAAAGCCAAAATAAAGCAAATGCATACAACGCTTTTAATTCGATGAACCTTACTGCTACTACTGCAGTATGTGTATATATACACAAGTATTTTGTTTTGTTTTTTTTTTTTAAAAAAAATTGACAAAAATATATTGACACAAAGACTACTTTGCTCTGAATGTCTGTATAAATCAAAGGCTCCTCTCTCTTTGAAACAATGCATGAAGCTGTTATCCCTGCTATTGCCACAGTATATTAATGCATCTCCATATTAAACAAATGTTTGTATGTTTCCCTCAAGCAGGTGAAAAGAAAAGAATTAATTTAATTTTATTCTAACTAAATCTACTTCCAGACTGGGGGCGTCTGGGAAGATGCAACATAAAGCTTACAAGCATGTTTGATTAAACAAGTTGAGAAAATTGGTCTTGAATTTTTATATAATAACACGGCAATAATGTAATCGAAACTGGCAGTTAGAAGACATTGAAGCCTAAAACTGCAAAGCTTTCACAGGGAATGTGATAACGTGAAATACTTACAAGGCAAACATCTTCCATTCTGCCTCATCCATTTTAGCAATCAGTCACTGCTATATATATTCCAGGTAGCCTGCCTTGTTAGTAAGTACTTACACAAAATGGGTCAAGAACATGAAAAAGAAACAACACTAAAATGCAGACTGGAAACTGACTTTTGATAAAGAAGAATTCTCTTTACACCAGTCACTAAAATGGGGCAAATCATGCAGCTGTGACTAACTGGTTTAATGCAGGAGAATTTAATAAAAAACAATGCACCAAACACCAAAACCAGCAGCACCAAAAATCCAACCAAACCCCCCAAACTGTGCGTTCTTTTATGGTAACAATCAGAAAGATCAACCAGTTCCTTCCTCTCCTTTGCATAAAGTGCTGGATAAGCAAAGAAGAGCAAAGAAAGAGTCTAAATGGGAACAGAAAATCCTCATCCCTACTTTTCCCCCCTCATAACAAGTTTCCAAAATTAATTCCTTACTAAAATTCTGTTACCTTATCACTAAAGATAACTGACAGCTTGTTAGACTAAAACTAGGACGATTGTACTCTTCCTTGAAAAAGCAAGGCAAAAGAGAACAATTAAATTAAATTAAGAACAAAAGTTCTCAACTACTGCACTTGCTCATAAATTCCACGGAGAACTTTTTCCTCGCCACTGCTGTGTGAAAGACACACACAATTAACAGTACAGACTGCATGAGTCACAAACTTACATGTGGGAAACCGGTAAGGTCAATACATACAAAACAGTTATTATGCACAAAGTAAATGCAGAAGAAAAATTAGAGGAAAAATACATCCGCTAATCTTTCAATAAAAATAAATCGTGAAGGTTTACAATAGTCTGTGAAACAGTCTAAGAAAGAGAAAAACAAGGCAATGAAGTTGTTCTACACTTTGCAGTGGGAAGGTTCTGCCTGGAACACAGAGTACGTTTGATTTTGAATAAAGCAACAAAACCCAACAATGCAGTTGTGGAATAAGCCCTAGAATAGAAACCTCTGAGCCATGGGGATTTTCTCCACAGTTCGACAGATCTTCTACAACTCATAAACTGAAGCCTCTTGTATCTCTCCTGAAGAAGACTTCCGTCTTTCTGGAGTAGGAATTCTGAAATTCTTCCCCACCGTTGCTTGGTTTTAGATTTCCCTCCTCAAACTCATAGCTTACTGTATAAATGGATCTGATTTACAGCATGCAGAAATACATAGTCTTAACTTTGTTTTATTTATTGGCATTTAAAAATCTTCCTGGAAGAGAAACATGTACTTATTAAGTTCTCTGCAATTACAGAAAAATTTTGCGCAAAAAAATTAAGATCTGCTCAGTTAGTACATTCAGAGCACAGTGAGCATCATAAGTCCATTTCCAATGTATAATATGTATGCCACATAATTTTTAAAAACTACACATTTCCTTCTGATTTGACTTGCCAGAAGACAATTTTATTCTGAAGCAGCTATATATGCTTAAATAGACATGACTACAAGAACAAGAGATTGCACAGAAGCTACCTGGTTTCAGTTTTCTTTATATTTTTTATAGGAAAAAAAAAAAGTACCTGTTCCCGTCCAGTTTAAATGAAGATGCACATTTGAAGTACTAAACTCAAGTGTTCTCAGCTGAAGTAATCTCAAATTCTCATTACATTTATTATGCAATGCATAATTTACTTTGGTATACTATGTGTGGCTGCCACCTGTTCAGCAATTAAACTGCCAAATTAATTACCTAGTCTATAATGGAATAAAAAATTTAAACCAAAAATTCAATATGGTCAATCCACTTTCAAATATGTGTAAGTCTTCCATGAAATATTAACATACTGTAGAAAAGGAACTCAGGTGGTTCTAAATTTAAATACAGTAATTAAAAAAACTTTGCTAGATTTAAAGGCAACAGAAGAAACTCCCTATTTGAACTCTACATAAATAAATGCAAAGATTTCTTGCATTATTTTGGTTGATTCTGTACAAGTTTGAGTAATTTATTTTATTTAAATATAACTCTTACAACAATTTAATCCAGAATCTTAATGCAAATAAGAATTAAAGGTTGACAGTTCTAATATAGAACTTGCACAATAGTTATTTTAACACTGACTAAACAGGAAATGGCATATAAAAAGATTTAGAAATTACACATTTTAAACTGAAGCTATTTCATCTTAGATTCCTTACGAACATGGCTTTTGCAGGATGACTTTTATCCTTCAGTATGCAACTTCATTCTTTACCTGCCAACCAAGTGCACAAGTTACCACAGCAAAATTTACAGAATAACTGACTTTGGCCTTGGTCTTACAAAGACCTATTTACACATTTGAGATAAGCAAGCATCTTCTTCCCTTTAAATTCTATACATGTGTTCGAGCTTTAAGCCTATATTTGGATTTACAAAATCCTGCAAGATAAAAAGCCGCTCAAATATACATCTTGGACCATTAAAGTACAGTGTCTTTCTATATGTGAACCTATCTTTTACTAAATTACCCACTCTTCATCACATGGACACCTCTAGAATCGAAGCAGTCGCTTCCACAGCTAAGTCCCTAGTGCTGATGGGTTTGACTGCTGAAAGCATAGATCAGAATCTGATCTATGGAGGGGGAAAAACAAATAATATTGTGCACAAAGAGAGTAACCTGCCTCATTTCCCCCAAATGTGATCAATTCTGCAAATAAGAGATATATGTCCTAGCTACATTTAAATAAATGTCATAAATCATCTGGAAAGAACTCAGCTGCTCAATGATCACACTCCTAATCGTTGTCCTAATCTTTGGAATTTGTGTCTCATTTACTGAACACGTAAAATAAGATCAATTTTGGCTGGAGATTTTTTTTTTTTTTTAAATTCTGCTTCTTGAAGGCCCACTGCCAATAGCAGTTATTTTAATGGACAAATGGATCTCAACATCAAAGAGTTAATGCTGTCTATGTCTAACTGAAACAACGCAGAGTATAACCAAGGTTTAAAAATCCTTCTGTTTGTCTTGTAGCAATCCAATAAGACAGATTTTCTTTCTCAGTTTAAGATTTAATCCACAGTCAAAACGAATGCCTACTATAAAGAAAGCAGTTATTCATGCCACCGTTAGAATTTCCAAAGCAATGGTTACTTCATCGTTAAAATAAAAGCAAGGTACAATTGCAAACAAGTATATGACTTTTTATAGAAGGCCTCATTGTGATAAATTATATACAGCATAGTGTTCTCATTCTCCTTAAAGTGCTACTATCACCATATTGATACAAGATTATCTATTGTTTTAGAAGGTCTTTTAGAACAGCACCAGCACTGGCATCAGGGGACACTGGCAGTGGTGTAAAAGTAGGCAGCACGTCAGAAATAGGTTTCATAAGCAGATGTCCAGAACCAGTGGCAGGTGTTATGAGAGGCACTGCTTCAGATCGAGGTGCTAGAAATGGGTTTGTATCTGGTCTTCTGCTCATTCCTGAGAATGCAGAATCTGAAATGTAAAAACAAAACAAAAAACCCCAAAACCCAACAACAGAAACATATTGTTAGAAAGCATTCATAACTCCACTCATTTTCAGAGCACTTGTTCACACTCAAGTTCTAAAATTGCCTATTACTTTTGTAACGCAAAAATCCTACCTTCTTGCCATGGGCTCTAGATGCTCTCTCTGACTTTCATTCTCTCTGTTTTCTCTCATCTCGGATCTCATCTGCCACTGGCTCTTTTGCTACACTTCAGGCCACCAGTTACAAAACTCATTTAAAGATCATGGCTCTCTCAGGACCTGCCAACTGTCCCATGCTTGTTGGCAGATGAAACTCAGTAACAGCTCAGGTTAACCCCCCCCCAAAAATCTAGACATCTCTGTGACAGACAACATGAACACCCTTTGTCAAGGTTTGCTTCATGCATGCAACGTCACAGAAATACCTGTCACGTTGACTCCAATACTACCCAAAGGCAGAGGGCCCCTCGTGTGCGCACTACAACGCAGCACATGGGTAGGTTTCCCACCCCAGGGTCAGCCCCAAGAAAGCCCCTGGAAATAAACATCCCAGGGAGTCACAATTTAGTCTTGGGACAAAACTTAACTCATTAGTCAGATTCTACCAAATTTTAGATTTCATAAGGAAAAGTGTTAATAAACTATTTTTTTCACCTAACAATCAACTTGTTCTTCCTTACCTTCCCCCATCAAACACTCACTCAGCTCCGGATGTAACCCATTCGCAAGGTTCCCACACCAGATGTACAGCATAAACTAAACTGACATTCCCATATCATACTAATTCTTTGGATTGGTGATTTTGTTCAGATCTTTTTGTGGACATTATTGACATTTGTGTCCAGAACTTAAAACTGCTATTTGGCTTATTTCTAGGAACAAAGAACTTACAGCACCAAAACAGTTAAAGGGATACGTATACTGGTTGTCTAGCTTTAGAAGTCAGGAATTTAGCTCTTGAACAACGAATATAGTTCTTCCAAACAAGGAAATTCTTTTGTTTTTTTTTGCCAAGAAAAACAGGTACTTTACCTATTACATTACTGTTATACTACAAGAAAGAAGTAAAAAGATAATTAAACTTAATTTAGGTTTATTAAAAAACTAAGTACTGCTTTCAGAGATAAATTCACAGTAGGCATTTATACTTTGTAACATCCATCTATTTTAAGTACAACCTGGATTAGTTAAACTGAAGATTTGGATTTTACATGTATGTCACATGAGGAATGAGGAATGGCTGAGGGATCTGGGGCTGTTTAGCCTGGAAGAGACTGAGAGGAGACCTTATGACTCTCTACAACTACCTGAAAGGAGACTGTAGTGAGGTGGGGGTTGGTCTGTTCTCCCTAGTGGCGAGTGATAGGATAAGGCCTTAAATTGTGCCAAGGGAATTTTAGGTTGGGTATTAGGAAGAAATTCTCTACGGAAAGGGTTGTCAGGCATTGGAACAGCCTGTCCAGGGAGGTGACTGAGTCACCATCCCTGGAGGTGTTTAAGAGACGGGTAGATGTTGCATTGAGGGACATGGTTTAGTTGTGTTATAGGGCTAGGACTCGATGATCTTGAAGGTCTCTTCCAACCAAAACTGTTCTATGATTCTATGATTCTACATTACTTTGACAAGTGGATTACTTTCAATATGCATAATATAGACATAACTGTTCTCTGCCTTAAAAAAAGCAAAATTTAACACCCATGCACAGCTTAAAGAGATCTCAAATCAGCTCATATACTTAACTGATTTTATTTCAGTCCTTTCTGAGCAACCAGGTTCTACATACCAGAGAGGCACTACAAGGTTGGTAGTACTTGCACGCTTCCACCTTTGAGACTGAAGCTGATCAAAAGGGATACTGAAAATCGGGACTGAGTTCACCAGTATATCCCATGGAGCTGTCTGCACAGCATCTGTTTGGCTCTAACTCTCTTTCCACATCAAAAGGAATCTGGTCCCTCTAATCCTCTGTATTGAGATTTTAGGAAGCAGGCTATAGAAGCAGTGGGAAGGAGAGGTGGAAGAAGAAATAAAAAAATAGAAGAGAAAGTAGGAAATTGGGATGGGGAAGAAATAAAACTCATAGTTCACAAGTGAGGAAGCACAGAATCATTGAAACCTCCTTGAAAAGTCTATCTTTAGTTATTTACGTTTTGTGTAAAGATTCACGTTTTCCTTCAAAGTTTACCTTGCATTTGACTGTTGGATGGAGTATTGCTGGTTTTACCAGTTCCTGCTGCTCCTAAAGGTTTCATATCATGAACAGAGAGCTTGGGTGGAGGAAGGCTTGGACAAGATTCTGTTTCAAGGAATTTCACAAACAATTCTGAAAAAGACTACAAGAGGATAATAGTTAATATATTTTACTGATGATCTGTTGAAAATTATGCAAATTAAAAATACACACATACATAAAAGAAAAAGGTGTTAATAGTCTCCAAAGAATTCTATACTGGTACTTAGTACTAAGTACTTGGTACTAAGTAGTCCTTGGTGAGTGACAATGAATTTATTTTCAAAACAGACTTCTTTTTTTTTGTTGTTGTCTCAGTAATGTATTTGTTTGAAATTGATCAACTCTAAAGATAACAACCATAATTTCACCATGGTTCCATTACTGATTTAAGCCAATTGTTTCAAGAATCCCATGCTGCTACTGACATCACATTATTTCCTGTGTCCATGGCTCAAGGAAAACACTCCTCCAAAAACACATAAAACAAACATTTATCTTAAAATCCATTGCTTGCTTTATTTGACAGTCTTGAATAAAGGAAGTATGGAGTGATTAAGGTGTCAGTAGCGCCACAAGATACATTTTTGCTTATTAAAACCTGTATTATACATACAAAAAGCATTAATTTTCATCTTCTACATCTGTAGTTTATCAGACTGCAATCCTCTGGTGGCCTAAGTGCCTGCATTATTTTAGTGGGCAAAAAACCAACCCCTATACTTCAAGATAATTTACAGGAATCAGTTCTCACCATGCTTTTCTAGCTTAATGAGCAGAAAACAAAGGTTAATCCAAAAAGCCCAACTCCTCAGTGCTCTATCCCCGAGTGCATTATTTACTGGTCTTCAAAATGGAAAGTTCTACAGATTAACTGGTCCCATGGATCATGCTATGAGAACTGCTGCTTTACAGTATTTGAAAGCTTAAAATAACAGCTGTACATAAGAGGCACTGGCTGCAGCAGGTGAAAAAGCTTTTGAAGTGAAATTTAAAGGACATATGGGAACACAGTCATCAAAATATGACATCATGATCTTCTATGCTGTTGAGTATTGAAGAATTCCTGACTCTCACATGTATTCAGAACTGTCAGTTTGCAATATAAAGTCCATACCGTAACAAGTCAGTGATCCCAGGAACCCGTGGAACAGTAATGGGATTTCTGTATTAGCCCAACATTTAGTATCATATAATTTTTATCAATATCTACATATTTTAGTGCAGGAAAAAATCTTATGCCAAAGCAGTTACACAAAATCAAGAAACAATGCAAGGTACTGGAGCATCAGTAAATGAAGTTCAATATACAGATGAACCAAACATCAGCACTGATATGCAACTGTCTCATTTTTTTCCACTCAAACACAGAGAATGCATGATGGTTCTTACACTATTAAAAATGGTCTGATGAGTTGGCCTCAAAGGTGTATTAGGGACACTCTTTGACCCAGCTCCTCCACCAAGCCAGCCAGTCACCCATCTCGTAACTCCTCTTTGGTCTTCAGATAATAACTAGGAAATATATAAAAAAAAAAAGCTAGAAAACAAAAAATAAAGCACCAAGTAAAAAAAAAAAAGGTGACATTGTGCTCATTACATTAATTCACCATAACTATGTGGGAATCCTACAGATAAATAAAATCTTTAATTAGTGTCAAAACCTTATTCTTTGTCTCCCAAAGACTGGCAATCTAAAAATCTGGCTCTTTATTTAAAAATGTAAGATCCCCTTTCTTCACAACACCTAGTGGTACATATAAGACTGTCTTACTTTTCTGTAACTGACACATTACAACTATGATGCACAACAGCACAAGGTTATACCCCTTCCTTTCTGTGTTAGCATTCCTCAGCAAGATGACATCCATTCTACTTTATCAAAAGATTCCATTAAGATCATCATGTCACATGTAAAAAATTAATTCAGAGGAGGGAACAAAAAACATACTTTCCTCGCAAGAAGTACAAGGAGAGTCATGTTTAGTTTAGCAGCAAGTCTGCTACTTTCAGGTAAGGATACTGAAAAAAAAAAGAAAACAAACAAAAAAAGAAAGTAGTCTAGTTTCCTGTAGAGTATTACCTGATCGAGTTCTTCCTTTTTTACTCCCAAGATACTTCCCATTAATCTTAGGACTTCAGGACGTTTATCTTTTGGAGTATGAAAATGTCCAACAAAGAGATTTCTCATCAGGAGCCTGCAGAACAAAGAAAGCTTGTTATACAACCTGCTCTCACATAATAAAGAACTAAAATGGTACCTCACCAATTTCCTTACGCTACAAGTTATAATATTCCTTAAACTATAAGTGTCAGTTTGGACAGTATTAGAAATATTTTATGCAGTAATGTGAAACTGAATTGTAAGTGAGCAAGCTTTGATGTAAGCAGGGAAAATGTTTATTCTAAGATCTTGACTCAAGAGAGCTTTTAAACAGACAGTTATGTGTAATCCCAAAAAAGACGTAAGGAAGGACATGGGAACCCATTTGCCTATTCATATTTCAGTTCTAACAAGGTTAAAATAAAAAAAGACCAAGGAAGACAGATTTACACAGCATCCAGGTGATGTTAGCTATAGGAAAGGGCTTGCTGCTCACACCTTAAACATTAGAACACACATTCATTAAGAACTTTTGTCTCCTTTTTCAGAGCTCATGCTATTGAGGTGCACTTCTACTTAAACACATCAGTAATCCATATTTACACACATGCTGGTTTTACGAATCAAAATTACTATTTACAATCACCAAGCAATTGAAAAGTGTTGAAATAATCGAAAGTATAATTACAAGATCACATACAGACGCCCAGTTCTGCACTACTCTAGCAACTGTGTTAGTAATACACCTGTACTTTGTGAGGAATAAAACCCCAAAATGTATGCCAAGCCTTTCATTACAGACTTACTTGTCCACTTTTCCTTCTGTGCTGTTCATAAGATTCATTAGTTTATTTTGTACATCTTCTAACATTTCTCTTCTGATCTCACCTATAAAAGGTATGTAACAGTAGATAAATACAAATAGAAACTTTGTTGGAAAACTTATTAATAATACACACATTTAAAAATAAAATTATGCCAATATTGTTATGGTGCTTTAAAAAAAACCCTAAATCAGTTTCATTTTTATAAGAGATGTGTCAACCTAACACATTAGATGAAACCATAAGCTAAAACTTCTGGAATGATACTCAATGCTGGAGTACAGGAACAAACAGAAAATAAACTAATTGCAGAAGGTCTAATGAACTGCTCTGTTCCTCCTAGATCATACAGAAGTGGAAAAAATATCTCAATCAACATCTGTAGTCCTGTGATGGCAATCTTCTTCATAATCTGACAAAACTGCATGGTAGCAGCAGGTCTTTTCCCTGTACTTGCCCTCAGATTAGTTCCTATACTCAGCTATTCTGCATACTTTACTATCAGGTTGCTAAAGCTTTGAAGAACTAAGGAGTTGTCCAGGCTCCCAGAAGAATTACTGGCTAGCAAAACCTCACCAGTAGCTTGTTGTGGGTCTCTTCTATTAGGACATTTCCTGCTCCTACTGACCAACGCGAGCTCTTGAAACAAACACTGGGACACACTAATGCATCCTAGAACCAGGCCTGTGCTTCAGGATTCAGTATGTCAGCAAGAAAGGCTCTGCATAGATTTATGCAAGAGTCCTCGTAAGTTTGAGGATACAAACATTCATTTAAAAATGGCAGAGATGAAATGCAAGAGCTACCCTGAACCAGAGACAAAAGTGAGAGGAAAACAGCAAACACTTTCAGTCAGGCATCATGGCCTGCAAATTAAGTGGATAGGCTGGCATTTTAAGTTAATTAATACAAGGTTGTCTAGGAGTGTGCTAGGAGTCACTCCACAGATTTTCTGTCTTCTTCGCATGCTGACTCCCAATTCTGATCCTGTTCTGTAGTGGCTGCAAGGAAATTAGTTCATCTAGGATAACATAATACCTACACATAATTGGCCTACACAAAGGACCCTATTTTTCCTCTCCAGAAACCCAAACTAGAAACTACTAGGAGAGTAAGAGAGGAGTTCTGTTTCTGCATTCACTAGTGCTGCACAACTTCTCAGTTTTCTGAAGTTCCTGACCTTAAACAATGGTTTGTCTACTGTCTACACACTTGAGCCTCGGGACAGAGTGCTTAATGAGGGAGATACAAATGTAGTAGCCCATTTCATCAGAAGGAGCCGTGGTATGATATCGTTACATTCGCTATTGACCAATAATTTCACAGAACCAACTTCTCCACAATTCTAAAATACCACTAACACAACTTACTTGTTCAAATACAGAATACAGCCAATTACTCCAACCATTCAGTCAGTAGCTCAGTTTGCCTCTGACCTCCCACAAAACTCAAAAATAAAGCACATAATGCAGAAAAAAAAAATCTCCTAAAAATTTTACCTGCCATAAATATTTTACATTCTGGCTATAAGGAAAAAAAGCACAAAGTTTTCTCTTTATAAAAATGCAGATATACTAGAAACTAGATAAAGCATCTGATGTCCAGGTCTACAGAAGTTTGTACAAAAACATGCAGAGTAAAAAGCGCTGGGAAAAAAACTTATCTCACTTAAATTCCCAGACAAAGGATTTAAGAACACTGGAATTAAAATGTTCTCAGACAAGACAACAAGTAATTACAATGTACAAAGAATTCTTAAGAAGACACACTACAAATGGCTTCACCTCAAGACAGCAAAACCACTATTTTTCAAACTAGGATTCTGCAAGATACTATTTTTGAAGTTATTTTTTTTCCTAATGAAAGTACAAGTCAGTTTTAATCACACACAAAAGTTTGACAAATATAACATGGACTGCCCATGTCAAGACCAACTCTACCCTACAGTTGTATAGTCAGAAATTATGAGCTTTTTACTCTCTCACTCTATATGGTTGAATGCTTATTTTCAAATCCTATGGAAAAACTAATGATCAACCTAATTTCCCTACCATTTTAACACTTCCTAAGCTGATGTTAATTAAAAGTGCTTCATTTAAAAACCAAAACCCAGAGAAGACATACTTTTCTTGTATCTATCTTTAAGAAAAGTGACTTCTATAACTTTTCATACCCTTCACATGAAAACATTCCACTCTCATGTCAATCTTTAATAAATGCATGCCACAGCTATGCTGACACAACGTGCTTCTCAATCCACACCAATAAGTCCAGGAGAAACGGCACAAAGTTTTCATATATATGTACATGGAAGAGCTAGCCTGTGAAACGGATACAACCTAAGGTTTTACTACTACATTTTATTTCATCAATACAAATTTTAGAGAGTACAGAGCACAACAAACTAACTAGTGTCATATTGGGAAAGTTCTTATTCAAGGAATATAAGGATTAAGCCCCTTACTGAAAACAAGCTAAAAACCAAACAAAAAAATATATATTATATGACAATATACCTTCTAACAACTACATCCATATGCACTGAAATCCATTCCAATAACATGACTACTTTTCATCACTCCGCACTCTCAGAACACCAGGATGAGAGGCACAAGAAAGATAATGCATCGTTTCAAGGTCTAAACCTACTTAAAATTATGCTACTTTGTAAATGTGGTTAAATAGTACCCCAATACTTGAAGGAAAACTCTTGCAATAAATAAAAACATTTGTATGAGCATACATGGAAGTTATTTGTCTCTCCACAGAGTAAAAGGAAATACAAAAAGTTAACTACTAATGTCACAAAAAGATAAACAAACAGCATCTGAAAACAAGTTTCAAGTAGAATCGTACCACAGAACCATAGAATGGTTTGAGTTGAAAAAGATCTTAAAGATGATTTAGTTCCAAATCCCTGCCATGGGCAGCGACACCTCCCACTAGCCCAGGTTGCTCAAAGCCCCATCCAGCCCGGCCTGAACACTTCCAGGGATGAGGCATACAGAACTTCTCTGGGCAACCTGTTACAGCGTCTCATCACCCTTACAGCTAAGAATCTTCCTAATATCTAATCTAAATCTACTTTCTTTTGAGTTTGAAACTGTTACCCCTCATCCTATTACTACACTTCCTTATATGCACCCTTTAAGTACTGGAAGGCTGCTCTAAGGTCTCCCCGAAGCCTTCTCTTTTCCGGGCTGAACAGCCCCAGCTCTGTCAGTCTGTCCTCACAGGGCAAGTGCTCCAGCCCCTGATCATCTTTGTGTCCCTCCTCTGGACCTGCTCAAACAGGTCCGTGTCTTTGTTGCGCTGGAGGCCCCAGAGCTGAACACGGTGCTGCATGGGGGGTCTCAGCAGAGCAGAGTAGAGGGGGAGAATCACCTCCCTTGACCTGCTGGCCACCCCTCTTTTGATGCAGCCCAGGATGCAACCGGCCTTCAGGGCTGCGAGCACAAATGAGTGGCTCGTGTTCAGGTTTTCATTCACCCTTCCCCGAGTCCCTCTCTGCAGGGCTGCTCTCAATCCACTCATCACGGAGCCTGCATCTGTGCTTGGGACTGCCCTGACCCAGGTGCAGGACTTGCACTTGGCCTTCTTGAACTTCATGAGTTGAGCACAGGCCTGCCTCTCCAGCCTTTCTCTCTGGATGGCATCCCTTCCCTCCGGCGTGTCAGCTGCACCACACAGCTTGGTGTCATCAGCACACTTGCTGAGAGGGCACAATCACTCAAAAGTAAGTCTCATGCTGTTGCTACCGCTCTACAAAGCAAGATAATCGCAAGTTTCCTTTTCAATTTTTATTCACATGATGAATTTTAAAACAAATGTATTAATAAATTAACTGAAATGTTACTGTTGTTTTCTATTTTTTCCTGGCTAAAAGATCTTAAAGAGGACCAATTTTTTAAAAACAGCTACACAGCTATATTCCATCCACAGGGAATAGGCAACGCTATCAGTATACACATTTTTAAAATGGAATATTTCCTTCCAGCTGAAAAGATTTTAAACATGTACTTTGTGTGTATCAAAAGACTGAAAAATAAAAAAGACCTGAGCCAAAATTAAGCATGGCCTGCTGTAAACCAGACATTTAGGACAGTCTCAAATAATTTGTTAACCATTTATGGCAATCCAGAAAACTTCATCTGGTACACCTTATACCTTTCCGTTAAAATCACTTCTCCTGCTAAAAAAAGAAAACAAAAAATAATACAAAAAACCATAAAGAAATCCTTCAAAAGATTTGGCCAACAAAATTGCGTATGGGAATCCATGTCATCAATTTTCAATACGACACTGTATGTTTTCTTGTATAAATAGAGAAAATAGAGTGGTCTTTTTTTCCTAATAAAAACTATGATTTACTCTACAACAACACTAAAGAGTTGTTTCCTTTATGCAACAATCCTCTTTCAATCTTTTGAAAAACAAGTAAATCGCTTGCCAATACAAAGAAGAAAAAGAAGAAAAAAAACCAGACAAAACCACATCCCCAAATATTCATAGAATCACAAAATCAAAGAAACATTTATGTTGAAATGGACCTCTAGATTATCTAGTCCAATCCCTTTTGGCTCAAGCAGGGTCATCTGCAGCAGGCTGCCCTGGACCATGGCCAGTTGGGTTTTGAATATGTCCACATGGATGGACATTTCACATCTCTGGGCAACCTATTCCCATGTTTGACCACCCTCACTGTAAATATTCTTCCTTTTCAAAACTGTTTCTTCTGGCAAATTCCTTTACCATCTGGCCAAGTTTTGCCTTCAAATCCAAATTAATGCCATTCATCAAATATTAGAGTACTTAATCTGTGAACGGTATGAAAGGCATCTTTCTAAATATGAGCAATCAGGAAGTTTAGTTGATATGATACCTAAAAATAAAATCTACAGACGTGCCCAAGACCTTTCACACAATCCCTTCAGACAGTCTTGCATGTTTGAAAGAATTGCTTCCTCTCCATCTCTTACCAACAGCACACCCTTTCTCTCTACCTCACTGAATTCCTGTGCCTACATCAAATATGGTACTTAGTTACTTTGGAAAAAATCTGGCCACATCTGGCATTTCATAAACATTTTAAAAAGATACAGAACTAAATCAAGGGTATTTATTTATCAAGGTATTTATGGGGGAAAAAAATCCCACCCCACAATTACTAGAGGACTTTCTTTTGAGAAAGATCCCTAACAGAAGGTAAACACACTTTTTCAAACTTGTTCTATAAATAAGTCCTCAAAAGGCAGTACAGAATTACTCTTTTCCTCATAGAGGCCAAATTTGGGTAAGTTTCTAGGAATACTACATTGTCTCTTCAACTGCTTGGAATGTTTTAAGCAGAGATTAAAAAAAAACAGTTACCCTCTTTCTTAAGCTCTTCAATCTGCTCCTCTTTGATGTCAAGCTGCTCAGTAAGCCTTGATGCCGCATCCAGTGCGGCATTTGCCTCTTCTAAACTTTCCTGAAAAGAAAGCAGGAAAGGGTCAAGAAGGGAAGTAAAGGAGCTCACTATCACAATTACACTACTACAACGCAGATTAAACATAACAGATGCAGAGACTTCAATCATTTGTTCTTTAGAATGAGTGGATTGTAAACATCCTCAGAAAATGGATGGTCAGCAGAGGAATGCTTCTTTGCTGATGTTCTTTTAGACACCCCCGCCCATCCCACTTGCAAGGGAGAGAGAATTATAACTTGGATGTATTCTTAAGACAGGAACACTTAACACAGCAGTTGGAAAAAAAAAAAGAGTCAAGAATTAGCATTCAATTTCATAAAGTTTAATTTCATTATTCAGCCCACCTGCAGTGATGCAACTTTTTCTTCTAAGCTTTCTGCTTTTTTCTTCCATTCTGCAGTCTGTTTTTGGTGTTTCTCAAGCTCTGCTGAATACATAGCTTTTTCTTCTATGGAGTTAAAAACATAAAACAAACCAAAAAAACTTGATTCAACATGTAACTCTTTGGGACACACTCAGCATTATCCTGTCTGGTCTTCATGAAGTAAAGGTGGAATTCAAATGTCATCAATGGGATACTGATCATCAGTTTTCACACGGCCAGAATTGTTTTTACAAGTTTTTTTAAAAGATAACCAATTCAGAAATTCAAGCTATCCCAAAAGAATCCAGATAACTAATATATTACACCAAAATACAGTAACTATCCCAGTGGAAAAAAATGCTTGTTGCAATCTTTGCTGTTTCTTGACAAAACTTACCCTGTTGGAATTGCTCTAGTACCATCTGCAGGTTGGCCAGTGACAGCGCATACTGCTTCACTTGGTCCTGAGCGACGGTGAGCTGTAGCACGGTTTCATCTCTCTGCTTCGAAACCAGATTTAATTGCTCTTGCAAAGATTCAACTTGCAAACTAGCTTGATGGCTTAATGAAAATAAAATACAGTATTTGCGAAGGCAATAAACAGACGTCATCACAGAGATAATCACATCCCAGCAAAAACAGCAGACCTTGAATTTTTCAGCTCGATTTTTTATAAATTAAGGGTTTTTCTCTTTAAAAAAATATTAAAAAAACAGCAAAAAGACCCCAGAAAACCAACCTAACAACAGATTTTAAACAAATGTGGTAATAAAATTCAGCAATCAAGAAAAAAACCAAACTCCTTTTGTTTGAAGTGCATTTAAAAACCAATAAACTAATCTTTGCTGTTCACTACAGTAATTGTATCTTTAGCAGAAAAAGAATTCCTATCTTGCTAATTGTCTGCTGCAATCATAGTTGTTCCTACCAATTCTTACTTAAAAGCTAGTCTCCAAGAACTCAAGTCTATCTTGCTCCATACTGGCCAGCGAACATCCCATTTAACTTCCTATTATGCAAAAACATTATGAAGTTGACTTACTCCTGTGTCAGTCTTTTTAAACAGTGCACATCAAGTGGGAAATAGGCAGTACTTCTTGAAAGGTATTTGACAAGTTTTACAAAGAATCAAGAAACATTCTGATGAAAAGTTTTTACACAACCTTCTCCCAGCTCTTAAACTTTCTCCACATTTTTCACAACAAATTCTGCTCAACTCAGAAATCTCTCTGCTGAGAACATTGAGAGCAAAATCCACCTTTGCCACTTAAAAGAAAAAAGTAAGACTGCAGCTACATATAAATTTTTTTATTAAAATACCTGTTCTTTTGAACAACTACAGTAAGATGAAAAAAGAATTCTTTTGCTCAGAGTAAGCTAAATTCCTTTAAATTACAAAATACTAAAGCAGTCAAGATAGGCATTAAGTAATTTTAACACTTGGGTTTTCATTGTTCTGGCTGAAAAATGTGATTATGGTAAATAAATGAAAATGCACAACTGGCTCTAGCACCCCAGATTCTGCTGCCCAGGAAAACTTCAATGTGTCTTTCTTTATATATGTGCACTAAAGAGAAAAAAAGCTTCCTTATACTTTCCATGGTATCAGGTATAAAGTAAGGATGCACACTTGTCTCAAAAGTAATTAATGAAGCATGAGTCACATCTATGCACTGAGGCATGTAAGAGTCTTGCAAACTGAATGAAGCCTCGACTTCGTGTTAAATCTATCTTTTTTTTAATTTGACAGATAACTAAATTGACAATTTGAAGGATTTTTGATGTTTCTAGCTGCTGTCAAAGATGTGACATTTCAATAGTTGCTACTAAAAAGAAAAACACTTTCTTAAGTTCTCAACAGTTCACAAGTGTATTTCAAATCACTCTCCTGATTCAAAGAAACAAAGTTCTTATCATTTTGTTTTGTCAAGTGCTTAGCATGTTATAGAATGCTAATTCACAAAAATAAAGCTATCAGGACCAGTCTAGCTAACTGATTTTCACAGCCAATGCCACTGCTGTATAAATTTAAAAGACTACCTGGCATTCTCCACTGCAGTAGATGAGGACACAAGCTTTTCTTCCAAAATAAAAACTTTCTTTCTTAGCTTGACCTCTCTGTCTTCCGCAGCTAAAGCTTCTTGTGTGTAGGAGTTCTCCATTTCTAAAAGGTGATTACGTAATCTCTCCAGTTCCCGATTCAGGCGCTGCTCTTTCTCACGCAAATGCTGTATCTGTGAAGAACATACCTTAAGTTGCCTGTGCTATCATCCTTCATAAAAATAATTTAAGCAAACGTGAACATGTCCATTGAAGCATAATGTATATGTATCAATTTTAAATGCTTTTTACAAGTGATTGCTGCAAAAAATAATTCAGAAACTATTACAGATGTAATTTCTTATTACTTTTTCTTTTACTTCTTGGAACTGCAAATTATTTGGTGGTGTACCTCACTCTGCAGGGCACTGCTCTCCATTTGTTTCTGTTTGAGTGCTACCATGACTTGGTCTCTCTCCTGTTGAAAAGTAACAGCCTTTTCTTGCATTGATTTAACTTCATTTAACAGTTGATTCAATTCTCCTGTCTTGCCCTGTTGAAGATACAAACAAGCATTTCAAATGCAGCAAATAATTTTACCAAAGGAGACCGAAAAGCCCAGAAAAGAGTAAAGATAACACTGATCTAACAAGGAAAAAGGGTGGGATACCCATGGCCCTACAGCACAGAAAAACATTCAGGAGAAAAAAATTCTTTTGAAGTTATTTCACTGATACATAACAAGACAAAGTTATTGCTGACAGACACTACAAAAACACACTGTCTTAACTGACTGCTGTGAATAAACACATAATACATATCTCTCATCTGAAGATAGGTAGGTAAGTACAGTGTCTCAGGCACTTGTATACTTTAAAATTTCACTTTTCCCCCAGTGTTTGGAATCTATTCTCTGCAATACTCATTTACAGAGCCAGGCACATGTAAAGCATCAGTCTAGGTAGGTCAACTTGTCTGACCTTAAAACTAAATATATGAAAAAATCTTTATAACCAAAACATTTTTGCCCCAAAGCTTAGCCTTCAGTGAATCATAGCAACGTTCACCACGTTTTCAGATGTCAAATTTTCATGAATGATGTACTCACATGCAACTTATTACAACCTGATGTTACCACATAAAGAAGTGTCAGTTACACAGAGTTCACACATACACATGAATGCATTTTCAGTCATCTGAAACTTCTCAGTGTGCTCTTTATCTTTTGTCTCATACATTGTTTTGAATTTTATTTAAAAGTAAATCAATCTTTATTTTTACCACCAGTACTTATGAGCTTCAATTATTTGTTTTTATCAAACAAATTGTATACAGAAGAATTATTTCTAGAGTAGAAGCATAAACCTACAGGCAAACCGTCTCATTTTATGTTATCTTCTGACACACACGCAAAACTGCCTGAATACTATTTTTCCCTAGTTCTCCATGGCAAACGCGAAGCATGTAACAGGAACTCTCCTATTTATGGAAGAAAAACGTCCAGATAAATGTTTCGTGCTTTTGAAACTGAAAGCCTAAGCCACCAGTGAGTGAAAGTCGCAGGCCAAACACTTGCAACACAGAGAACTTAGTCAGACAATGTGTATTTCCACAAGTTAGCATAAAAAAAAAAAAAGAGTAAGAGTGTGCATTTATAAAGTATTAGTAAATTTTATATGGGCAAGACTGATGAACATCACGTCACAATGTAATTCAAAGTGATTTTTCATAATGTAACTGTACTTCGAGACAATAAAACCTCTCACTGTAATTCTACAGCATAACAGGAAACGGAAGCCTCTGCTGTGAGCAAACAGAGCTAAACATCTCTCCTAAGTCAAATATCTCCATAAAGAAGCAATCCTAGTTTTTCACATACATTACGTCAAAGTTGAGACTTCCAAATGCTAAATTTAAAAAGACATATATTGTTAAATGTAATTCATATTTTACTTTTCCAAATACATTGCAGATTTAATAGGTAGTTTGAAAATGCTTCAGAGAGACATGAGGGTGGTGAGGCACTGGAACAAATTACCTAGAGAGGCTGTGAATGCCCCTCCCTGCAAGTGTTCAAGGCCAGGTTGGATGGGGCTTTGACTAACCTGGTCTGGTGTAAATGTGTCCCTGCCCATGGCAGGAGGTTAGAACTAGATTATTTCCGGCCCAAACCATTGAATGATTCTATGAAATGTTTTATTATACTTAAACAGGGGGAAAAAATAATGCCAAATTACTTAGCAATGGTTTACATAAATACCACTATCTGATAATGGGCAACACTCATAATCTTTGAGAATGAAAAGGGATGCTAAAGGCAACAAGAAGAGTAAGAACAGTAGGCATGGAGGGGGACAACTGCAAGAGAAGACTGAAGAATGGTGAGCAGAATAAGCAAGATGAAGAGAACAGGGACCAGGACAGAAAATTATCTGTTTGGAATTAAATTACTGGAAGATACTGCTCATTAGGACATAGTCACTTTCACAGCCTATGAAGCGAACCAGAAGTATCTACATCCTAGAGTTTTGCTGTCAAGTGTTTGTCAAAACTACAGGAAGACTTCTGCACTGCCCTTAATGCATATTTCTCAAGGAGAAATGGTAATTCACACATTACATTACTTTGTTAACTCCAGCAACAGCAGTTCATACAATGTCCTGTTGACCTATGTATCAATGATGCCACATAATTCTTTGGTCTTTTAAAAAGACTTCTTTCTCAAATTCCATTTGCGGTAATTTATAAAGCCACTGCAACTTTTCTCTGAACATACACTTTGAAAAAAGTATAGATTGTTCCATATGTCATATTGCAGAAAAGAAATCATTAATTTAGCTTGTACAATCTTTTATAATTTTTTTTGCAGTGGAGTTTCTCCAATCACAAAAGCAAGACAGATAAACGTGCTGATCTCACATCGATGTTGTGAAGCATCACACTGGAATGACAAATGCTAGAGGAAAGCATATGGAAAGATCAGTCCTGCTGGTCAACTCCGCAGAATTTTGAGCCTCATACACATAATTTCTTAACTTTGCAAGGGGAGAGTTTTCATTGTAGTATAATATAAACACTTGATGGCTACATATACACAAAAAAAGCATCACTGTGTGATTAATTTTAAAAGATACTCGTAACTATGAATGCACATACCTGTTCTTTTTCTTTCAATAGCTTCTCGAAAGCAAGAGCTTTTTCCTTCATTGAGTGAGACTCAAACTCCTTCTCTTTCAGCATCATTGAGAATTGCATATTAGTTTCCTGAAGTGCTTGGAATTCTGTTTCTTTTTCCCTACCCCTTGCAATTATTTTTTCATTTTCTTCTTTCAGTTTTTGAATATCCAGTTCTAAAACTAAATTTCTTTCTTTAAGATTAGTCACAGCTTGCTTCAAAAGTTCATTTTCATTTTCTTTGTTACTAAGATTTTCACTCACAGAAAGTAACTGATCACTTTTAGATTTAATTAAGATGTCTTTTTCCCTAAGCGATTTCTGTAAGACATCGTGTTTTTCTCTGATTTGCCTCATCTCTGACTCAGTCCCTTCCTGACTCTTTCTTTCAACCTCTGATGCTGTAGCCACAGAATCACATAATTGTTGATTGTTTTCCTGAAGAGTCCTAATAGTTGAATCTTTTTCTTGCAACTTTTTTTTCAGTTGTTCCAATTCCTGTTGAAGGAGTTTAGACTCATCACTGAGTACTACTGGAGCGCTGTATTGGATGCCCGAAAGCTGTGACATGGTGGAAAGCACTGCTACAGATGGTGTTACCAAATCAAGCTTACTCAGGAGAAGATCCCTGGTGCTATGAAGCTGTCCTATGCTATGTTGAACTTGTGCCAGTTCCTGACTAAAACTTTTCAGCTTTTTCTCATTCTGTTCGTAACTCTGAATCAAGCCATTATAATCTACCTGTAACTTTGAATTGCTATCGCTTTCAACTGAAATTTGTGTTTGAAGCTTGTGTAACTCTTCTTGGAGATGAGCTGATTCATGCTGCATGTTTTGAACCGTGGTTATTACTTGTTGCTTCCACTCTTCCATCTTCTTTACTTGTTGTTTCAGCTTATCACGTTCCTGTAGAAGTTCCTCAAACTGGTTACTGTTAACACCTCCTGACCCATTACCAGTCCCTGTACTGGATGTCTGCAAGACAGTCAATAAGGTTTGGCATTTTTGACTCAGAGCATCTATTTCAATATCTTTTTCTCGGATGATACGAGATAAATTCTGAATGGTTTCTCTAGACATGTCTTGACTGCTGTTTTCAGACCTATTTGATAACTTTTGATTCTCCTCTTGCAATCTTACCAAAGCTGCTTCTTTAGCAGCAACCATATCCATGATATTACGATATTCTGTCTTTAACTGGCTGTTTTCTCTTGTCTTTTCACTCAGAACTGCTAGTACTTGTTCCCTTTCTATAACATAAGCTTGCAGCTGCTGCTGAAGAGAAAGAACATCCTGCCTATATGAAGCTGAGGAAACTCTAGCACTGAGAGCTTGTATCTCTAAATCCTTCTCTTGAATGATCCGAGTAAGCTTGCCAACCTCATCTTTAGACAACTGATCAATTTGCTGACTCAGAGAAACATTCTTTTCATTTAGAAGCTTAATCTCCATCTCCCTTTCTTTGATACCTTCTACCAGTCTTTCAATTTCAGCTTTAGATAAGTCATGTTTTTCATTTCCATTTTCTCCATTAAGAGTCCGCACTTTAGTTTCCTGAAAAAGATCAGAGGAATCGGTCTCAATAATCTGTCTCTCTTTGTGCAACTGAGTTTTAATTTGTTCGATCGTTTTCTGCAAATTTTTGATTTCCTCATCTTTCTCTAAAGAAAGTCTTTCATGTGTGACATTCATTTGCTCACACTTAAATTTAGACTCATCTATCTCCTTTCTCTGCTCCTGTAAAGACTGCCGAAGTTGCGCTGTTGTTTGATTCTGATCTTCTATTGTTTTTTTGTGAACTTCTATTTCTTCTTCAAGATTACTCTTTATTACTTTTAGCTGTGTTACCTCACTTTCAAGTTCAATAATAATATCTAGAGTTTTAGGCTCAACTACAGGTGTAGATCTACTTTGCTGATCCTTAAGGCGCTCGATTTCTTCTTTCAGATGATTATTTTCTTCCTTCATGACTGCAAGATATCTGTCCTTTTCCTCCAAGTTCTGCTTTAATACATCCTGCTTTTTAGAAAGTTTAATATATTCCTCAAGCTCCTGCTTCACCTGAAAGGCCTGATTTTTGTATTTTTCAATAAATACCTCTTTTTCTTTCATGAGTTCTGTCAACTGCTTTTGTCCTCCTAAGGTAGTAGTCAACATCTCTTTTGTTTCTTGATGATCCACTTCCATCTGCTCAATACTCCTGTTAAGTTCAGCAATCTTGAAGTCTTTCTCCTGATTGAGTTTCACGAGGCGCTCATGCTCAAGCTGCAGTGCAGTGGTATCCATACTGCGGGCACTTGATAACTCCTCAATAGTTTGCTTATACTTATGTGCTTGTTCCAAAAGCCGCTTTTCTGTCTGGTTTAACTCACTCTCTAACTGTCTTTTTTCCATTTTCAAAGCCTCCACAACAGTGTCTTTTTCCAAGTGAACTTTATTTTTCTCTGAAATGGCATCACTTAACTCCTGTTTTAGTTCTTCAATGGCTGCTATCAGCTTTCCATTTTCTGTTCTGAGATTAGACAGAGATTTCTCCAAGTCTTCATTTAGTTCTTTATTTTCTGAAACATCATTCTGTAGTTTTGCAATTTCTACTTCTCTTTCTTTCAGAATCAGATCTTGACAAGTGGAGTTAGATTCCTGGCTATTTTTTTCTGCTAACTTGCTCAAGGACACAGAAAGTTCCTCCTCTCTTTCTTTTAGTCTCTGCTGCAATTCTCTGATTTCTCCTTTATTACGCAAATTACAGTCCTGGGCTTTTCTTAACTGTTCCTGAAGATCTTTAATATTACCTTGAAGCTGCTGCTTACTTACATGCAGATCATTAAGTGCATATGAACATTGGCTTAGTTTTTCTTTCTGACTATTTAGCTCCTTAATAGTTTCTATCTTCTCAGTTTCTAACTCTGATACTTTCTTTCTTTCAAAATCTATGTCAAACTTCAGCTGTTTGATGACACTTTCCGTTTCTGTGTGCTGTTTTGACAGTTGATCTTTCAGTGTAATCATATGCTGAAATGAACACAAACAAGAATTCATTAAGAGAGAAGAACCACCTGAATGATGCACTTCATTCGTTCTTATCCTCTGAACAATTAAAAAAACCTGAGAGGAAACAAAATTGTTCCCTAGTTGCCAACGTAAGTCAATGCTAAATTAATTAAACCAAGTATCAAATAGGGATAGACTACATTTCACTAAAAACAAGAATGCCGTCTCCCGGAAAAGAACCCTAACTACCTAATTCAATGAACAAAAAGAGAACTATCTAAGAAAAAAACCTGTCAGAATTCATCAGGGCAGCTGGAATGGCTACACAGCAAACACCCGTTACTTAAAAATGGCGAGGGACTAAATTTTAAATACCAAATTACAGAAGTGAATGCATATCTGTTTAATTTATTTATTTTCAATTTCTTGTTTGAGCTTATTTTTAAACCCTCTTGCTGGGATTCATTTCATATGAAAACACTTTAAATGTTCAATTCCATAAAGTAAACCAATATTGAAAACACATGGCTTGCAGCTTTACTTTTAAAAGTCATTTATATCAGAACAGTTGCAAAAAGCTATCATTCCATTTTGATTACATATAATCCATGACCTTTTTTGTTCCACAAATGCTCATTTTACGAAGAACTTGTAATAAAGTAACTTCATTATTCAACAGAAAGAAAAGAAAAAAGTTTTTTTGAAAAAAGGCGTTCCCATTACACATACTGTTGTAAGACAGAGGTAAAAATATTAGCAGGATAAAAATGGTCAAAGGTCTCGAAAGGGAAAATCTACTAGCATTTAACTGGACTTTGGAAATTAACATCCCTTTCAGAGAGCTCATATGCCATATTTCTTTCTTCAAAACAAATGCATTTCAGAATTTCACACTGAGATGATAAATATGGAGAAACATTGGTCCCAATATTCTTTTTAAACCTCAGAGGATAACTTATATTTCTCTGCTATCTGTGTTCGAAGATCAACTTAGAAGATGCACACAAATATAAATATTTATTTTGGCAGTTCCAATAATTAGTTGCAATATTACCTGAGTAGCTTCTTGATTCTGCTTGTCCAGTTCTTCCAGTTCCGCTATTAATGTTTCTCTTTCAGCAATACTTTCATTTAATTCATGTTCTTTCCTTTCCAAATCTTGTCTTAACTGACTTAATTCCAAATTCTGATTCTCAGCATATGCAGAAACAATATTCTCACTTTTATGTTGTGCACTTGTCAGTTCCTTCTCAAATCCCTCCTTCAAGTTAAAAAAATAAATTCTATATATTAGAATTTATTTTGCTGAAATTTATAAACTGTTTAGATTTGAAATGTTTCCCCCCACAACAATTAAAAGCAAAGCATGTATTTTTATGTTACAATCTCCAAGCCTACATTAATATTATCCCAGTTAAAATTTCTTCACTGTGAAGTATTTGCCTCTACCATTCATACATATACATTTATTTTTTCATTGCTACGTTCAGGAGTGCAATTTACAAACTCCTGCACAAACAGCTGTGGTCTGACAAGCACAGCTATATCCACCTCTGGGATAAGGATCCGCAGCTGGGATAAACTTAGAATCTCCAAGAGATACCCTAAACTTGCAGGACGCTGCATGGTCAGAGAGGAAGCTCTAAAGAAGGATACTTGAATAACGTCCATATGAAAAAAGCTATGGGAACTCTCAAATGCATGCAAAAAAGACCTCAGTTGAAAAATACTACTGGGTACAAAAGTAAATTGAACCAAATCTTTCCAGCCTGAGTTTATAAAGGACTAAGTGAACCATCCCAAAAACTAAAAGGTGTGTTCCAGAGAAGCTGTATGTTCCATGGTTTAGCTTTATCAGAAAACAACATGTAGTATTATTAGAGTACTACATGGAAGGCAAGAGGGATTTTACAACTGGTTACAGTGTCAACAACAAAATGTGCCAAAGTACAAGAGGTGAAAAGAGACAAGTTTTCCAGAATGTACTACTGATACTTCAAAAATGTATGTTACAGCAGCCTAAGTAGCAATGGAAGAGGTGGAACTCCACTAGTTTTCTTTAAGAGAGTATACTGTGGAATTTCACAAGCCAAATGTCAATTCCACAGGTAATTATAGAATTAATCTACAATTATTTCCTTGATTATAAGGTTATTTATATAGAAGTGTGAATTCCTAGAAAACGTATAGTGCCAGAAGGCACGTTGTCCATCCGTTACCATGTATAAACTTTTCTGTCAACTTAATTTTAGAATTTGCTTTACCTGATTTAAACTTGAAAGTCTTGCTATTTCATTCTCTGCTTCTATGAAGGAAAAATAAAAACCACATCATCTTACTGCTATCCGAATAATAACAAAAGCATCATTCTCCCACCTTGTCCCAACAGAACTCTGCTGCTCAGAAGTGAATAGTTTCATGGTATTTTGTGAGTAAAAGCATCAGTGCTGTAAAAGATTTAAACTCACCATCAATCACCACCACAAAGTAGAGCACTGTTTTTACAGCCGAGCCCACATTAGGATGACTTTGGTAATATTACAGTATATCAGCTACGCAATATTACAACATTGCCTACATACGACAGGGAGGTTGGATTAAATGATTTCTAAGGTCCCTTCCAGCCTAGGCCATTCTATGATTCTATGATACAGATATGACTCTTAAACAGATATATTTCAGTGTCTCCTTAAGGAGAAGATATTACCTCTACGATAATCACACTAGTCCTAATTGTATCTCCTTTTCTGCTTAGCCTTACCTCAAGGGACAATCCTTTTCTAAAGCAGCAACTTTTAAAACACACATATTCTCATATTCAGTTCCAAATTCTTAAAATAAATTCTAAGCATTAAAAGTGAAAACCTGTGAAGATATACTAAAAGTAATAACAACAACAACAAAAGTATCATAATCTTTGTACCTAACAGTGCTTGCTGTAGTCTGATAACATCTTCTGGTAGTGATGTCTTTGACTGGAGCTTCTTCTCCTGTTCTGCAACAGAACTCTGAAGCACTCTAAAGTCAGATTTAAGATTTTCATACTCTTGTGTTATTTGGACTTTTTCTACCTTTGCCAATTCTTGCTCTTTTAGAAGAATTTTGTTTTCTTCTTTGGCAGAAGACAATTTGTGATTTAATTTCCTTATTTCATCCTCTAGGTCCTTTATGACCTGCAACTCTTCTACTTTTCCTCCTTCTGGACTGTGAGCATATTTTTTCTGTTCACTAATTTTAGAGTCAGCCACGGCATCAGCACTCACACCACCTAAAAAGCAAAAAAAGATTGTTTAAGATACTAACCAAAGCCAGCACTGTAGATCTTTCCTTAAAAGCTGCTTCTTCCATCCTTTCTCCTGACGGAGGGAGATAGTCTAAACCAAAGACATGGTCATCATCAACAGAAAGCTTGCTTAAGTATCGTTACCATGTGAAGCAGTGCTATACATACTACTGGATCACTAAGGAGCTTTTCAAATACTTATAGCTTTTAAAATTATTTTGAGCCAGGAATGTATGTGCTGCAAGACACACACTGTTCACAATTTTATTAAAATATACTTGATCGCCATCTCTCTTGGTGAGGAGATGACAGAATCTAATTTATCAGGATTTGGAATCCCTCAATTTTCTAAGAATTAATTTATCAATCCCCACCTAATTCAGTCTGATGCAAAATCTCTGTTTGTAATTTAATTAATTAAATTTCAAAAGTTTGCTGAATGGTTGTTATAGAGAACAACTTGCTATAAACCAGTACATCGTTAAATGATGCACAGAAGTTTTTCACCTGAAGATCTCATTTTGCAGAATTGATGCTTTTACAGATCTACCATACTATCATAGTTCTGTACAATCTTCACAATGTGATTTCTAGGTAAGTTAGAGGGCGCAAAAAGGAATAATCAAAAATGCACAAAAAAGTTAAATGAAAGCACAGTGCTTGTGAATCCATTTCAGTGTAAGCTCTAATAATTCCCTCCATCCAAATCTGTATTATGCTGTCAAACAGAAACAACAAAACCCCCCAAACCTAAATACTCTAATTTTTCAAAGTTAAGAGCAGTATTTATTTTACAGATAAGCTGTAATGCAATATACATGGGACTCCTGCCTTTGACTTCATTAAAACAGTCCTGCTGGTGTACTTATGTTCAGTGCATGTAGTACATGCAGTTAAAAGACAGATCACATCTTAACAGGCATCTGATTTTAAGAAGTAAATTCCCTATCAGTGCTACCTTAGAAATTAAGAGACTGTGAAAATACCTCCTCTCTTTTCAAGAAGAAAATGAACCTCTCTTTCCAAAAGGAGAGCATACACTCTTTGAATATCTGAGTTTTAACGAATAATAAAATAGAGGTATACAGGAAAATGACATATTTGTGCAGATGACTCTAAAAGAAACCAGCCATAACTACTTTTATGGACTACGAAGTACCTACAAGACAACAAGCTCCTCATGAGAACTACCAACCTTCTACAATCTAGCTATGCCATAGACTAAGGCATGGTCCTCAGGGCAATCTTTGAGCTTTTGTCAAGTAACCCAATTAGCACCAAAAAATTTCAGCACAAGAACAATTATCTTCCACTTCCTATGTCTTGTCTGCACCTGTATCCACTGGAAGGTAAAAAACAGGAGGCATAGAATTTAAAGCACAAATATAAGATACTAGGGCACACGTCTTAAACATGAAGCTGAACTGAAGGTGGAATTCAAAAATCCTAAACATCAAGTGTTAGGGACTACAAGAATGGCTCAAACAGTCTAAATTTTTTCGGAACCTGCCTGGCACCTGTCCCTGATGGTGCGGGAGTGACTCAGCACTTTGCTGAGCCCCCTGCCCCAGCCCTGCACTGGTGGAGCTGTGGGAGTGGACAGGGCTTGGAGCTGTGGCTGCAAGAAACCACGAGAGGGAGGAGTAACACCCCCCTCAGAAGCCCTCACCATCCCCCAAAACGGTTCCCGGTCTGTGGCGGGAACTTGACTGTATAAAAGGCGATAACCTCGGGCAGTTGGGTGCCTCTTCACTCACCACTAAAGGATCCCTGCGAGTGCCGTGGTCGTCACTGGATCCAGGAGTGGTGATCTTTCCTTTTTCTATCACTTTTCTTTCCTCTCTTTCTAGCTTTAACAGGAAGCTAGCTATGGCAAGGCCGGTTTCTTTTGCTTACTAATAACTCGTTGTTGTGAATCGTGTTGATTACGCTGACCGAGCAATTGAAATACCTTGTTGTCGGGTGACTGATGAATAAAATTGCTGTTCAGATCTTTGGTGTAAGTCACCTTAATACTGGCCTGGGAATCAGGAACCTGAGTGAGCCAATGTCCTGAACGTCGGAGCGTGACATCAAGCATTTGACATCTATTGCACTGTTATATACAGATTAGATGATTTAACCAAAATTCACTGTACATTAAATAAAAGAGAAAGCATGCAGTAATAAAGACCTTGCTGTAACTGATTCTCAAGTTCTTCAATTCGCTCTTCATATTCACTCAGCTCTTCTCGGTGTCGATGACTTATCTCTACCAGCTTTTGTCTGTGTGCATCCTGCAACACTGAAAGCTCATGTTGATGTTCATCTATTTCTTGACTTAAATTCTGCTTGAGCTCCTGAAAATAAAATTAGAGAAACAAAATTGTAAAATACAGTAAGTAAGCTTATGAAAGAAGAAATTCAAAAGGAAATGAGTTTTCCCTAGCAATATTAAAGGATTTCTCACAGGAGAAGACAAGTTTCTTACAGGAGAAGGCAAGTTTTTTGTTGGTTTTGTTATTTTTAAACATGTTAAAAGATACTGCTTTAAAAAACATGTTTACACAAACAGTATGCTCTACACAACAGCAAATATTAAACCAACATAGAGAGATCAAAACTCTTTCATGGGAGGTGGATACACTAGGACTTATTTCCAGTAACTTCCAAGGATGACATACAAATCATATTTTGCATCTTCGGTGAAACAAGGCAAAATGTTTCTGAGAAGGGAGGCAAAATTCTTTCGTGTATCTAAAATTCAGTTTCATAGGTAGTCAACAGCTTCTGAGAGCAATCTTCCCTCATAAACACTAGTGCTTTTAAGCTTATGTACTTTATTATTCAAATCATAAATATACTCTCAGAATAACTCACTGTAAATATTGTTCTGCTGACTGAAATGTTGCTGCACTATTACACACCCACGCGCATTTTTAACACAGGTGAGTATAGCTATGTGACTATAGTTAAAATATTTACAACACTTATGTGACTAAATACAAAACCATCAAGAACAAAGCATGAGAGAACACTAGTTTGTCAAAGTTGCATCTTACCTTCACAATGTTTTGCAGTTTACATATTTCATTTTGTTCAGCATTGTGTGTCCCTTGCACTTTGGAAGACTGAGAAAAGAAAAAAAAAAAATCAAAAAAAAAAATCACATGGTCATGTGAAAAATGTGATAAATACATGCACTTTTCACTTAAGCGCCTCCTCTACTGATGCTCAAAAACAGAAAACAAAGCTGTTGTGAAGCAAAATTCAAATCTACAATAATTTTGATCAAAAGAAGACATTTTAATGGAAACATTTTGGTTTCCATGGGTTTTTTTTCTTACTATTACATGCAAATATGTTAAAGTTTGGGGTGGCGAGTGCTACTGTAGCTAATAACAGGGTTGCTTAATTTTACTTGAGTATTTCCACATGGGAAAAGTATACCTCTGGAATCAGGCTGTAGCTTGAAAAAGGATGACTCATATCAGCCTGAAAGATTATGTTCTTTTTTTCTCTCAGCAGACCATGCATTATAACTGACATATCAAGGACTGAGAGAAAAATAAAAACAGCATGCAAGTATCCAGTTACCATTTTGAACTGTACTGTGCTGTCAATAAATAATCAGTATTGCAGACAGGAAGAAGAAAAGTAATTTTGGAAAGGCTGCACAAAAATGAAACCCCGTAGTAGTATGCAAGGCGAACGTTTACGAAATCCTTGTCCTAACTTCACAAATCATGCTTAAAAGCATCACTAAAATGCATTTGCAAGTTAATCTCTTTAATGTGCTCCCAGTCATATGACAGAAAAAAAAAATGACTCAAAGATCATTAGGTTTCAGCTTTTCCATCAAGTCATGTTCCTTCCAGAAATTGTAGGCCATGAACTTTTAAAAGACTCACTCCAAAACCAACAAATGCAAGGACAACCCTAATGTGGAGGGAAGAGGGGAGGCTAAGATCATAGAATCACAGAATGGCCTAGGCTGGAAGGGACCTTAGAGATCATCTAGTCCAACCTCCCTGTCATGGGCAGGGACACCACCTCTCGACTAGATCAGGCAACACATGGGGACCGACCGGGAATCGAACCCACGAACTCGGTGCTGTCATTCTTGTCAGCACTGCGCTCAAACCACTGAGCTAACCAGCCCCCTATAAGATACAGGTGAACCACTCACCAGTGCTATTTGCCTCCAGTGGTCAACCTCAGATTCAAGCCTGGAAATCTCATTGGACAATCTGTTTATTTCTTGTTGTGACCAGATTATATCTCCGAAATCCATGCCATCTCCTTCAAAACCTGAGGAGTGCCTGACCGCTGGAACGTACGAAGCTGACGTAGTGGCTGGTGGCAAAACCCCAGCTCCTGACTGTGCTGACTGAGCAGCCATCTGTACTTTCTGCAGTTGTTCCTGTAGTGCATTCTGTCTTGCTTTTAGATGGCTGATTTCCACCTGAATATACAGAATAAAAAAATGCATTGTTTCAGTATGAAGTGTATCAAAATACTTGACCACTTGTGGCCTTAAGAAAGGTAAACTGACCAAACGACTCTCCTCCCACTCCCAGAACTGATCGCTTCCCTTAAAAAGAAAGGGAAGAAAAAAATCCAAACACTCCCCTAATGGAAAAAAGTGGTTTTAGCTGATGTTGTACAAAGTATCTCACACAAGTACACATATTAAATGTTTTAATAGTTTTCAGTTATCTAAAACTTCAGTAAAAGCGTCTGTCGACTTTTTTCAGCAGTCAAGGTACGTAAGTATTATAAGAAAATTTAGGTTAACAGCTTGCACAAAAATTCAAATATTTAAAGAGCATCTTCAGATATGAAACTTGAGCACTATAAGATGCTTCTCCAGTTATTTACATTTGATTTCTTTTATATCTAACAAATCAGTGCTCTGGAAATGTACTTATTTACAATAAACTGAAATTACTTGCAGGTAATTTTCTCAAAAAAACTCTGTTATTGTATTTAATAAGCAGAATTCTATACAACTCAGAATTCTGCTTCCTCTAGTTCCCATATACATTTAGAGTTAAAACTCTTTTTGTGTAATTCTAGGCATACTGGGAACTTTCTTCATTTAAAAGGCTGTGAAATCTCACGTTATACAATAGTTTATAAAGCTGGCATTTCCAGCACAAAGGGACACTTCTCAAATTATGAAACCTAGTTCTGTTCCTTTCAGCTGCATATGTTATGATAAATAATTATACCTACAGACAATATAATTGCTTTAGATGAGAATTTGCTCCTGCTGCCTTCCTTAAAGATAACTGAATCAGAATTACAGAGTACTTTAAGTGTCTTTTCTCATGGTGATTCCACAAACAACAGAAGTTGTCATATACGTATCACATTTCCAGGGAGTTTTCTCGTCTTAACTATCTCCTGGCACCTCTGCTTGTATTACATGATACACACGTTTTAGTCTCTCAGTGTCTGCATTAACAAACTAAGAAACCATAACTGTGGCCAATACTTCCCCTGAGAGAGCATAGATACTACTACTACCAAAAAAAAAAAGCGATTAAACAGCATAATATGTAAGTTTATCAGACATACTTACTCAAATATTTTACTCTGTATCCTACCTCTTTCTGTTGAAGCTGATTTCGGTACGCTAGAGATAGGTGCTTTATTTGAAGCTCTGCTGCTTCATGCTTTTCTTCTAAATCACTACAAACTTTTTTCAGTCTCTCATTCTAGAAAAAAATGAAAAAAAATGTTGGGAAATTCAAAACGGCTAGAAAAGCAAAAGCATGCTGAAGAGCAAAGAAATCAATTAAATTGTACAGATTTCTCATGTTATTTCACTGAAAACACACAGTAACTTCCAGGTGTGAGCCCCAAATCACATATATATACAAACTTTATATTTTGTTATGGCATGGACTCCAGACTCCAGCTGACTTTCATAAAAAAGTTTGTGGTGAAGCAGAGGTAAATGTCAAGAAGTAAAATTCAGGGCTGAATTGCATCTTAGCATGATCCACGGGTGAAATTTAAGAAGTCAGAGCACAAATCTGAGGCAATATCCAGACAGTTCAGTACTCTCTCTGACACTGGCCAAAACCAGAGGACAAGAATCTAGAAAAAGAACAGGCAGGAACAGTTACTTCTCAAAAATACTATGCAATCTTCTTGATGCTCTTAAGGGCTGAAGACACACCTGAAAGTTGCTGGTTTACAGCCACAAATAAAGTCACAAGGCCAATAGGCCCTTTGTAAAAGTACACAAAGTCACTTCCTACAAGGACACGTGGGATTTGCAGTTTTAGAAGAGCACGAGCATCTGCAGCTATGTCAAAATGACCACACGGCACAGAAACACAGAGAGCTCCATCAGGGAACACACACGCTCTAGAATTTTAAACTTGCTACAGAAGACAAGCTGTTGGCATAGCCAGGCACTATCGAGTCAAGTCTATTGCACAGTCCAAGTCACACGATGCAGTAGTTAAAAGATGTAAAGACCACATCACACTCACAGTCCAGTGAGCAAATGTGCCCCCTAACTGTGATGACGGTTTGTCACCAAAAAAAAGAGCCACATTCTAACACCACTGTCCTTCTTTTGTCCAGATTTAGCCAGTGAAAAGTAATTTCAATGCAGTATTTCACCTCTACAAGAAACAAATGTTATTGCTCTTAATTACAGTAGTGTTCCAAAATATCTTACTTCAAACTTTTGTGCTGCATTGATACTTTCTATTTCTCTCAGTCTGGAATTGGACACGTGGAGCTCTGTAGCAGCATCTGAAAGAAAGTGAACATTTTAATTTTTATTAAACTACTTCTAATTTGTTAAGTAGACACCAATTAAGACCACAGTTATTAATAAGTGTCTTACTTTAGACCGCTTTAATGGTAATTCCTAGGTAATGACCAAAAGCTGCTTTTATCAGAACACTATCAGAATTATTTGTCAGACCTGAGAGTCTTTCTGAACCTAATTTAATTCTCACTTATCTAGAGTTTAAGTCAGATCACAAAACCAACAGAAAAGTATGGACTTAAGCTTTAAAGATAAGAAAAATGAAAATCGTTTACCTATTTCATGTCACCAAATCTGGTTTTTATTTAGGACTTTGCCCATGACATGACAGTTACGTGTTTCTCATTCATCTCATGTGACGTTTGAAAACAAGAATTAGTTCTATAAAATGCACACAGCAGTGACAAAGTTTTCCAGAAAAAAAACCCAAATGTATCACCACAAAACCATCAAGCTCCACAAAATAACCCACACAACAAAACATCAATCCTGCCCCTCACACAAAGGTACAAACCCCCTATAAGACTCACTTTCATTTACACAAAGGTGACACAATCTATCACACCACTTTATCTAATATAAAGAGCACTTAATTCTGTTCCTGAATACTCTTCCTTTAATGATCAACCTTCCTTAAACAGGTTATGTTTACTTCTCCCATTTCAATCTCCCACTTTCAATGGATAGACATACCACATTTCCTTTCATTAATGAGAAATCATTCTGGATTGACAATAAGGCAACCTGGGCAATTTATCAAAATTTGAAATAATTTTTAAAGTAAATACTCTATTTCTTATTTTTTTATGTGCTGTTTAAAACTGATTCAGCTCAAGTGCTGCAGAGGCAACAATCTACCCATGAAAACTGCTAAACTGAAGATGTTGAAGTCTATAATCCATGAACACCATCTTCAAGTCAGATGGCAGTCAAAGCTGCGAGTTTAGAGGTAATATTAAAAATTAGGAAACACTGGAAAATTGAGAAATATAAAAAAAAGAATGTAAGAACCTGCCTGAAAAACATTCTTTAGGCCACATAGTATGTGGTCTTTACCAAAGAGTACTTGGATGTCATTAGATTTTTACATCCTCAAGGTCAATAATCCATAAAAATTTATTACACTTTAGACATTTTTAGGAAACAGAGGTTGTTTACAGCAGTATTTAGCAGTCAAGCACACTTGGACATAACCACATCTTTCTTGCACAAACTAAAGCCCAAACGTGTGATTTGGAATCTCACCTGATCTTCCAATAAGGCAAAATAAATGCACTGGATGACTACACAGTTTAACAGCATAAAATAAGTTTCAAAACCAAACATATGGATTTTGGAATTTAGAACAATTCTAAGCAAATCTTTCAGCAAACTGAAAAAATATAACTGCAGTTATCAGAATAAATTTCTCCCTTTCAAGCCTTTTACCTGTATATCAAAAAACACTCATCCATATGAGGCCAGTAGTATCAGCTTGCCAACAAGATTTATACAATACTTTCACACTGCTTCGCAGTTGTTAAGTTGCAGACAAAGTAAAATTGTTTAATTTCACATCTAAGACAAGTACTCAGAGTCTTAGCTGTCCTCTGTGGTTGCTATTCTTAGCACTATTTTGAAAATGCTCAGTTTTTTCAAGAGGCTGTAATTTCAAGATGGTAAACAACAGCAGTGGTATTAACCTACTGATATATATCACCATGTTATACTAAGGGTCTACTAGAAAAAATAGAACTTTTATTAAAATGCTAGTATTATTAATAACATTTTAAAATACTACAGTCTACAATAAATTTACTATTACTTTTTTAATATCTTACGCTGATGTCTCAGCTTTTGGTTTCTACTTTGTTTTAAATGTAAATCACCCTAGCTTCCAATCCCTACAGAACAAGGGCTGCGTTCCCCTACTTGGCTGCAGGAGAACGGCAGAACCCAACACGTTTCTCTGGGACCAACTGAGTACAAGTGACAAAAGCATCAGGCGCACTGGACCTTTGCCTGCGTGACACGTCAGACCTGTATCACACCGGTGACAAAAAAAACCCCTCTGCACTACTACTGCTTCGCAGTTTCATGAAACCACTCCAAAAGCAGCTAATCGAACGGGGGTGGGGATACCCCGAGCAAACGGAACGGGAGGAGAGCGCTGTTTGCCCGCTTCGGGCACTGACCAACACAGCGCTGCCCGCGACTCGGAAACTTCCCAGTAACAAACCCCGAGCAGGTTTACGCCCGCTGGTATTACAGCCTGGGAATACGTTTGTTTATCCTCCAGCTCCTGAGGTCACAGGGGCGGAAGAGAAACGAAAACAAGGCCAGCAAAGCCACCGGCCGCTCTCCCG